CCAGGTCCTCCTGCCCTCTCTGCCTCATTTCCCTTCAGTCGGTAGCACGTGAATAATTTCTTCAGATCTAACTTTCATCTAGCAAATTCTCCTTACTTATATATAAACCATTGCCAACCTTTCAATTGTTTTAATGTGGCCATCATCATGCCTTTTAAAACTTTTTAACTCTGTTATCTCTTTAAAACCTATTAGATGACATTCTTATTTCATATTTCGTATCTGACAGCTCTAGAACCTGAGATCTATGTGGGCTCCTTCTGCTGACTTTGTTTTTACTGGCTCTTTTGATCATGGCACCTTGATTCCTCATGTGTTTGTGATTTTTAACACTGAGTTCATTTTTCTGGGAATTCTTTCAGGCCTCAACTGAAGGTGGACGCCTCCACAGATAACGTGGTCTGCTTTGCCACTTAGCTCAGAGCACCACCAACCCTGGACCACTCGAATCTACACTGCAGCTTGGGAAAGCTTTGGCCACTAACGTGGAGTAGATTCAAGGCATATACCTTCATGGGACTGCCCGCCTGGTAAAGGGAGATTTTCAAGCAAGATCATTGTCTACTGTTGCCAGGGATTCAAGCCAGGCCATTAGCCTGCAGTTCTCTGGAGCAGGGGATCAGGGTCCTGGGTCCACCTGGATGCCAAACAAGCATCCTTCTGAGACTCCAGCTTCATCCCAGGGGGCCTCCTGCTGCATTCTCCTTCTTGAACCACGCATGAAACTGGAGTAAAGTCCAGGCCTCCTTTCTACTTTCTACCTCAGGGTGTACATTCGTTTTGGTTTGGGTCACTATGGGTGCCTTTCTTGCTTGCTGGTTTATCAATGCATTCTAATTCTAATTCTGTACCGCATCGCATTTAGTCTGGCAGCTGTCTAGAACACAGACTGTTGGAATCACGAGTTTCTCCTGTCCTCTCATCTCCATCTGAACAATTATCGTATTATTATGTCAATATAGACTAATTTTCAGAAATTGAAAAGAGGCTTTTTTTTTTTTGGAAATTTTGCTTCCTTTTTTTTTTTTGTCCCCATTGTAAAGTTTTTTTAAAGTATATGTACGGAAAGGAAAACATATCCCAGAATCAAAAAATCAAGGTAATCCATGAAACCTGGAAGGTTAAATAGAGCAAATAGGGCTCATTTAAATTAATTCCTGAGCTAGAGATGGTGAATCAAGATGGGTGTGTTTGAAAGGCAGGACAGATATCCCAAAATAAGCATTTGTGGATATAGCCAGGACTCCAAGTTTGGATCACATTCCAGAGATTACACACATTAATGTGTGAGTGTTTTTTTTTTTTGACCCATCAGATTCTGTTAATGAACACTATTGCTTTAAAACTCATTTTTCTAGGGATTTCTATCAGAAACTCTATAGATAACCCTGGCTTATTGGATTTGTATTTCTGTTTGCAAATTCAAACAACTTTGAATGCTTCACTTTCCTGCCCAAAGCTTGTTTGGTCTTTCATCATTTTGTGGAACACACAAAAAAAGGTAGGTGATTACTAAATGTCAGCCTACTCTCCTTGGCTTACATTTTAAATTTACTTTGGTGGTAGCTTGCCTCTAAACATGTTACCTGAATACAACCAGACTGCGAGGGAATGCCCACACATTCACTTCCAGCCAGTGGTAAGCTCTACAGATGCAATTTCTTTTCAGGCCAGCCAGCATTTTCCAGTCACTTATCAAATCTTTATTGATTTGACTTCTCCATGCAATTTGTGGCTTCATATAATTTTGGACTTTGAATGTCTTTCACTTCAATTTTCATCCTTCTTGGAATCTGTTTTTTCTCTTGTCTTATATTAACTCAGAATTATGCACAGTAATTTCCCAGTTAGATGAGTGAAATAACCAGGAAAGACAGCAATGGATGCCACAAATTCTTTCTAGGCATGTTCAGACCTGCAGACATTTTTAAAAGAAAAATCAGATCTGTGTTCCTTTCTTCGCATTTTATCCTGTCTTCCAAAAGTACTTGTAATAATGTTTATTAATTTCTCATGAAAATCCAGTCAACATATTTTGGACTTATCACTAATAAATCAGTATCTGATACTCTTTTAATAAGTCCTGGTAATGGTACTTTGATAAATTAAGATGGGTAGTTGGAGTTGACGGAGTGACTCAAGTGGTAGCAGGTGTGAAGCCCTGAGTTCAAAGCCCCAGCACCACCAAAATAGATAAATAAACAAACAAATAATAAGATGGGTAATCGTTCTAAGATAATTAGACTCACTTTTATCTGTTTTTTTTCCAAATTTATGACTATTGAGGTACATGTATGATGATATAAAGTCTTTTGGTTGCAAGCAGAATGTAATATATTAAGTTTTTCACAACTGATAGTTATAATTATCACTTTTTTATTCTGTTTATAAAAATCTGCAATAAAAAATGAGGTTAAGGACTGGAGGCCTGGCTCACATAGAGCACCTGACTAGTAAGTGCGAGGCCCTGAGTTCAAATCCCAGTGCTGCAAAAAAAAGCCCAAAAAATAAAACAACAACAAAAAAACCCTGAAAACAAAAAAAGGAGGTTAAAACCAATTTGTGCCAAGGTCCCAGAGTTCCTGCCTTAGAAAGGATGAACACTTAGTATCTCGGATCTGCCACGAGGGGGCGATGTTGGCCCTTCAGTTCTCAGTACACTGCTGGGCCTCCACCTGAGCCTGTAAGGCTGCTTTCTGACTGAGAGTGAAGGCCACAGAGAAGAACGAAATCTTGTCACTTGCAAGTAAATGGATGGAACTGGAGCACATCATCTTAAGTGAAGTTAGCCAGGCTCAGAAGGCCAAAAGTCGCATGTTCTCCCTCATATGCAGATTATAGACCTAAAACAAATGCAGTAAAATTATTGGACATGGGTCACATGCATACAGGAGGAATAAGGAAAGGCAAGGAAACCTAAAACTTGGATGTGGTTGATGTGCTCACTGTAGAGGAGCAAATACAGTAATCTTAACCTGGCTGAGGTCACTATGGGAAGGGAAGTAGTGAAGAGGTCTGGTAGAGATGAACCAATGTGGGTTGAAATACACACGTGCATGGAAGCAACGCTAGAAATCTCTCTGTACAGCTATCTTTATCTCAACTAGCAAAAATGATATTCTTTCTCATTATCTCTTATGTTTTCTCTTCAACAAACTCATAAAACAAGAAGGCAGAACAGGTTCTGCCTGGAAGGGGGTGGCCCAAATAATGTATACCATGTAAGTAAGTGTAAAAATGATAAAATAAAATTAAAATAATGAAAAAAAGAATGACTCCTTATCTCTTCAAGCTTGGCACAATTATGAAAGATCTCAGAGAGGCAGTAAAGAAACCGATAAACTCAATGAGATACCTTAAACACTTCTGAAGAATGAATTTCAGCTGCCTTGAGGCTTGCCATCAAATGCTAACACTCACTCTACTAGAGAAAGTGTAATTACAAAAATTCCACATGAGAAACACTTTTCATTAAAGATAAAAGGGAGAGTAGGTAAAGTTGCAAGATGAATGGCCTCAAAACTGCTTATTAAAGTGCAAGTGCCCATGAAATGTCAATCAACCGTCTTTTTTTTTGTTTAATCCAATTCAAAGATCCTGGTTATACATCACCCCCATCAGCCTCAAGGTGCAAAAGAGGGGATACTGACACTGACGGATAATGTGTGTTAGTTTGACAAGCTTACTGGGGAACTGCAGAAGTCATGGCCCCACCAAAAGTATTCCTCTATCCCTACCCCTACCCCACCCCATGGGAGAAGAGTCCCTGAGTGTCCAGGCCATCTCTCTGGTGGGATAAAGACTCCTCCTATGGTTCTGTTTTGCTGGGGTCCAGGTGGTGACACAGCACAGGGAGCAACCTTCCTCTGCCAGTACATAAGCCTCTCTCTCCAGAGTGTAGGAAAGAAAGCAGTCCCATGCTTCCCTCAAGCCCTGCAGACCTGACATGTACACTTTTCTTGAGGCATACTCACTCCCAGGGGCCCTGCAGTTCCTCTTGGGAGCTCAATTTTTATCAAGCTCCTTTCCTCAACCTCATTTTCTAAGCCTGTCCCTAAGTATCCACAACCTCCACACGGTTCCCATTTCTTCTCCCTATAAACCACATCCTCTGGCAGCCATTTTTCCATTTGGAAAGGGGAGAAGGTTGATTGCCTAGGAAGGAAAGGAAGGTGACAATTAGAGCTTCTGGCTTCCATGCAGGGGTTTGAGTAGAGCATGTGGGAACAGTAGGGAAGGGCTCTGTTAGGCTGACCCCCTAAAATTCATATGTTAAAATCCAAACTCCCAGTACCTCAGAATGTGACTGATGTTAGAGACAGGACCTTTAAGGAGGCGACTGAGGTTAAAACAGCTCATTAGGTTGATTCTAAGCCAATATGACTGGTGTCTTTATAAGGAGAGGAAAACTGACACAAAGACACACACAGAGAGAAGATGGAGTAATGGCACAGGAAGAAGGTCACCTTTTACAAGCCATGGAGACAGTCTTTGGAAGGAACCAACCTTGCTGACACCCTCATCCCAGAATTCCAGCTTCCAGACCCATAAAGAAGTCAATTTCTGTTGTTTAAGAGGTCCAGTCTGGGATACTTTGTCATGGCAGCCTTGATAAAGTGATACAGGCCTGACTTCCCTCCCCTGACTGACATGTTAGAGGAAAGGCGACATGTGAATGGATTGAAGGGACACTGACAGCACAGGTCTTTTGTCCCATAGGATTCTAGGGAAAAAAAACGCCTCAACATCCATTTGGGGTGTCCAGTTTTGTGTGCATTTAGTAGCAGAGTAGGTCAAGGAAGAGCAAAAACTCCTCTTTCCACACCGCCCTCAGCACTCATGAAGGCTGCAAGGTCCCCAGCACTTGCATGAACCATGTGGAGGATGCAGAACATCACTCACATGCCGGAGGACAGCCTGAAGAAGGCAGTGGCTGCTGTGAGGGAACAATACAGACTCTGTAGGACAAGATAAGAGACTGGGCCCCTCCACCAGCTGGAGGAAAATGTAGGAGTCAGTTACTGTGTTCCTTGAAGAGCAAAAGTTGTACAGCTAGCAGGGAGGGGTGCTGGGCCAGCCAAACTGAGAGAGTAGGTCAGCAGAAGCACCTGGCACCAGAGTGACCAGTGACCGGTGAACAGTGGCCATTGTGAGACACCATTGCTCATTGTGAATTTGTAGGACAGCAGAGAGACCCTGGGTGCATAGCTGATGGCTTCTGGGCTCCACTTCTTCCAGAAGAGCCCAGAAAGTTCCTGTAGCCCAGGAGCCGTCTTGGAATAAGAAGGAACTGTGCCTGTGGGATGCTGAAGATGTGAGTGTTCTCCTGTGAGGAGACTGAAAACCCTGAAAGACCATTCTTTACAGATGTAACTATCCCTCCTACTGGGGAGGG